CTATGTATATTCCCGCAATGTTCTGTATATTTTTTGAACATTCTGGGATATTCATAGAATATCAAATGCTATCTGGGTTGGACTCACTTTGATGAAATCGAAGGTTTTGGTCAGCATGACAATGCAGCTGGCCTTTTCCTGCCACACCATTCGCCAGAAGTCGGTGACCGTCTCCTCAGTAGGACCCTGCGTCACAATGTAGGCGTTCGGTTTCAGTAGGCTCTGGAAAGTAAAGACGCGCCTCCATCACATTGGTGGCATTGGCCCCGCCCACTCTACTTACATCCACATAGGAGGCGTTGACATAGTCGCTGTCATGTTCGCCCTCTATGGTGTCTAATACTACCCGGTTGTAATCATCTGAAACAATTGAGCAAAACACAGTTGACTGCGTCAGTCCAGTGGCGCACGCCGCACACTTACAAGGAATGCATTTTTGGTTCTGGTTCTTTTCCAGGTTGCTTTTCTTTGTTCCATGCCGGCATGAGTGCGGCTCCGTTTTCTCCGCAATCTGATAGTGAAATAGAAAATCATTGTCAACACCCAGCTATATACAGGGTGATTCTGATGCACAGTGGCAACCCTGCATCCGGGCTAGTTTTTGTTGACACACTTGTCAATGTTACATGGCGTTTGGGGTTAGCTTTTCAAAACTGATTACGTGAACTACCTTATGTGAGGAGGCTCTAATTGCGATTTTTGTTGCTGTTTTACCTCAAATTCCAGCTTGTAGAGAACGGGGAACTTTTTGCGCTGCTCGCATAGTTTCATGAACAGCGAAATGTCGATGGGCCGGTCGCTGATGCTGTCCACTACTGTGCCATTGTTTTCATCTGAAAAGATGAAGATTTCCATATTCAAAAAAACCAAATTCACTCTACAGACTGTCTGGATGTTCAAACGGAAAGTTTCCAAAATTGCGAAATTTATCGACGTTTTCCAGTCGGCACATTGACATTGACATTTTGGATTTGTGACTTGTACGCAATGTGTCAACGTCACTGATCAAAAGACTATAATATACAGGGTGTGCAAGCAAAGCAGTGGCTACGTACCATTGAACCGACTGGTCGGCAGAAGGCCGCTGTTGAGCATGGAGAGTTTGATGGCATTTGGAATGGACGCAAACGAGTGAGTGGCGCTGGCGTGCCGTTTTTTTCGCGGTTTGTCCACATCGTTGGTTCGGGGCGTCGATCTTGAGCGCGGCTTCTTCTTCACCGTCCCGGACGACGAGTGGCTCTTCAGTTTGGCCGCGTCCGGATCGCTGGACATTTTCTTTACGCTCGGTACAATTTGGGGTGCATGGAAAACGGGCCCTTCAGGCCTCGGCTGCCGTCACAACGCGTGATGGAAAGTCGCTCGTCTGTACAGGGTGATTCAAAGTTAGGTTGCATATTTGTAGCTATGCTGTAATTATTAGCTAGACATAGGAAGCATAAATCAAAGGCATAATAAAGTCCCTGTATCAGACTATGGAGGCTTTCACGGCCGGTTAAATCCCAGTTAGGAATGTTTTCTGGGCTGTGAAGCCGTGGTCTATGGGAATTTCTTCCCGACGTTTCGTCAGCAACTGCGCTGGACATTATCAAAGGCGATGAGGCAGTGGGCGAAGTGATCTCCCGTGCTTTCCGACTAAGACTGGTTCAACCACTGGATCCCCTG